ACAAGTCCGAAATTTAAACTACAGTTTATTTATGTTAATGTATGGTTAACTATATCATATTTAAACATTGTCAACTTTCACAGATTCTTGAAAATTCATGAACCAGACTTTGCTCTTGATAATCTGTCTCAGGTACCTGAGTCACGGTTTACAATTCAGTTTTGAAAACTTTCCCAGCATGCAATCTGCTGAATCTGCATATCCTTGTCTTCGTAATTTCATTGGCTATATGGAGCCTGAGTTTGAACAGGATCTGTTTCCAATTGGCTCGAGCTATACCCAAAGAAGAGAGCATTGTCTTTCAAAGCGGACTCTCATTGACTGTTCCAGAATGTGACCGGGCTATAGAAGCTCCTATTGGGTCAAATGAGGTGTCAATCTAACCGGCGGAATTCAGGCTCCATTTTACGCTGAAAATCTCCGCTCTGTTGACATCAAAAGTGAAATTATGCCCGGAATACGATCGCGAGTTATCATATCTGCTGGCTAATTTGGAATGATGCAACAGCCTCGTGGGTCTTTATGGACGTACTAATGTGTTTTGGACTAAATCTTTTACTGGATTCGATCGAGTGGACCCTTAGCCACCTAGCAAGACCATTTTTGCTGGACTAGCATGCACGAGGGGGACATTATGAATCATAATCGGTGAGTCACGGCGATATTTTATCGGCTATTTTTGGAGTGCTTGTTTGACAGAGACGTTAACTGTACCTGCTGTTGTTATTGTATCTTGAAATGGTTTGCATAAATCGAATTACAAGAACCGTAGCTTTCTAATGAGATATCACATTAATACTCATCGTTACAGAGCAGTTGTGTACATAACACAAATATGCCGTTGACACTCTGACGGCCCGCCCGCGGGCCGTCAGAGTGAGATGTGGTTTTAAAGACAACAAAGTAGAACAGAGAGACTAAGCATAAATATTTGACATTTAACTACTATTCTCCAGCTGTGCTACATCACCTTCTGATTTAATACGTATTTAACATGGTTCCCTACCTTTATCATTCGTTATGGTGATCTTGTTCTCCTTTCCAGTGCTTTTGTCCACTGCAGACACATTGAGAATGCCATTGGCATCAATGTCAAAGGTCACCTCAATCTGAGGGACACCTCTGGGAGCAGGTGGAATACCGGACAGCTCAAACTTGCCCAGGATGTTATTGTCCTTGGTCATGGCTCTCTCACCTTCATAAACCTGAAAACAGTTACTCAACTTAAATTGTTTTGCATCAACATACACTTTCAGGAGTAATTGTAATACACTGGGACAGCAATGGAGAGTGAACTGTTATTTGTCTAGAACTACCTGAATAAGCACACCAGGTTGGTTGTCTGAATAGGTGGTAAAGGTCTGGGTTTGCTTGGTGGGAATGGTGGTGTTCCTTTTGATAAGGACAGTCATTACTCCTCCAGCTGTTTCAATTCCCAGGGACAGGGGCGTGACATCCAGCAGGAGCAGGTCCTGTACATTCTCAGACTTATCACCAGCCAAGATGGCTGCCTGCACAGCTGTGAACAGTTTCAAAATGGTGAAACTAATGCCATAACAACAGGAACGCTTCAATATAAACCACTTAATCATGTTAGAACAACAGTGTTTATACTCAACTAGTAATATGACCAGAAAATGAGTATAGACCTAAATGCTGTAGAGAGACCCACCTGCACCATAGGCCACTGCCTCATCAGGGTTGATGCTCTTATTGAGCTCACGGCCATTAAATAAGTCCTGCAGCAGCTTTTGAATCTTGGGGATACGTGTGGAGCCACCCACCAGGACAATGTCATGGATCTGGCCCTTGTCCATCTTGGCATCCCTCAAGGCCTTCTCCACAGGCTCGAGGGTCCCACGGAACAGGTCTGCATTGAGCTCTTCAAAACGGGCTCTGGTGATGGAAGTGTAGAAATCTACTCCTTCGTAGAGGGAATCGATCTCAATGCTGGCCTGAGTGCTGCTGGAGAGGGTGCGCTTGGCACGCTCGCAGGCTGTGCGTAGACGACGCACAGCTCGCTTGTTGTTGTCGATTTCCTTTTTGAACTTGCGCTTGAACTCAGCTATGAAGTGGTTAACCATCCGGTTGTCAAAGTCCTCACCCCCCAAGTGAGTGTCTCCGGCTGTGGCCTTGACCTCAAAGATGCCATCCTCAATAGTCAGGATTGACACATCAAAAGTACCACCTCCAAGGTCAAAGATAAGGACATTACGTTCACCGCCAACCTAAAATAAAGAGTAAGAATTACTAATAGGAACATAGAAGATGTTAATGTTTGTATTTTGTTAGTAAGTCACCTTTTTGTCCAGGCCATAAGCAATGGCTGCAGCAGTGGGCTCATTGATGATGCGCAGCACATTAAGCCCAGCGATGGTTCCAGCATCTTTGGTGGCTTGACGCTGGGAGTCATTGAAGTAGGCAGGAACTGTGACAACTGCATTGGTGACAGGCTGGGAAGACAGTAAGACCGTGAGTCAATAAATATCATTTGTGTTCAAACTATTCTACTTTTTAAAATCTGTCACCACATTGCAAACATGAACAAGGCACTAATAGAAACTTTTCTCACAATGTGTTTTGAGGCAGAGGAAGTGCTTGCTATGATTCTGAGGTCTTGCGTTTGAGATTCTGTTAAGTGTAACAGTTATAAATACTAAGTATTTTTCCTTGACAGTTACAGCTTGTCACTGACACCTTTTTAAAACCGAACTACCCTTGGTCATTTTGAGATTGTACTCTTATTGTCATCTACCTTGCCGAGATAAGCTTCAGAGATCTCCTTCATCTTGGTGAGGACCATCGAGGACACCTCCTCAGGGTAGAAGGTCTTTATCTCACCCTTGTATTCAACCTCCACCTTGGGTTTGGTTGAATCATTCACAACCTTGAAGGGCCAGTACTTCATGTCTGACTGCACCACAGGATCATCAAACTTACGACCGATCAGACGCTTAGCATCTGAAGAAGATTTAAGAGAAAAAACAAGACACTGTAAGTCACATGTTATTTTCGATCACTGTTTCTGAGCCTGTGGCCTTTTGGGTGTTGCAGTCCTCACCAAATACAGTGTTGGTTGGGTTCATGGCCACCTGATTCTTGGCAGCATCTCCAATCAGTCTCTCAGTGTCTGTGAAGGCCACATAGCTGGGCGTGGTCCTGTTTCCTTGGTCATTGGCAATGATTTCCACTTTGCCATGCTGGAAGATGCCCACGCAGGAATATGTGGTTCCCAGATCAATGCCTACTGCTGGTCCTTTAGACATCTTACATAAAAGAAGCAAGATGAAATAAATATGTTAGTGATTGCAGCCCTTTTTGTTATGGACAGTAATCCCAGATTAGTGTATGTGTTCATCATAACTGAATAAAGTTTTTATAATAATATTTTGATGTTTATGATAGTAATTGTTTTGTACTTGGACTTGTGTTTCCTTGCAGTATTATTCAATCAATGTGTACACACCTGCACTCCACCCATGTATACCCACTGTGTATCTACAAAGATATGCCTGACCCTGTTACATAAGTCTGTGCAAGGCCACATGAGGCTCAGTTGGTGGAGTGGTGGAGGAGCATCCATGGCGTAGTTGCCTTAACCACCTCCTGACACTTGAGAGCAAACGATTGGTGGATGTTACACTGCCCTTTAATTCCCTCTCCACACTGTTTCACTCTCCGCTCCTCCCTCGGTAACATTCAAGCTGGTGAAATGTGATGTACTGATCCTGGAATAGTGATCTGTGTGTCTATGTTCCGACAGCTGGCTCCAAATAGCTTACCGTTACTATAATAAGCATCAGTGTATGGCAATGAATGGAAGGTAGGCTAAAAATGAACAGATCATTTATCAGTGACTATAGTAGGCAAGACTGGTTCCCATTAAAACAGATAGAACCACAGCTTTGAGGTGCAGTAAGTCGTGTTTGATTAGTGAAGAACTCAGCAAAAGCTTCCTGTTGCTACCGTTCAGCAGACTGAGGCAGGATATTTAACCTTTTAGAATTAATTTTTAGAATTAATATTACACCAAATAACAACAACAAAACTGACTTATTTAAGTTTAAAAATCTTTAGATTATCTTTCTTTCCTCTACATGCTTAACGGGTGACAGTTGAACCATGTTCCCTATAATTCCCCAGAACGGCTTCAACTATTTCGGACTATTGAATTATCACTTGTTATCCAGTTGTGTAACATAGAGCAGGAAATGCTGACATGCTAAATGTTGACAGCGTTGCTTCACTGCCTGTCCTACGCCTAATTCTAAAAGACTTCATGTGCAGTACAAAACAAATATTTTGGAACATAAATATAACAGCACTGTGGCCTGTGGTAAAGTGATGCACACATGCAGGCAGTTTGTATTAGATTCCGTCTTAGCCATTTGGTATAGTTAATGCTATTCAGCGTCCTTTGGTTGAAGCAATCCTGAAGATCCAACTGACACTGTTGGGAAATGGAAACAAATAATCCCAAAAGACATTTTTGTTTACTGGACAGTCACTCAACTGTGTGGTTCTTCTTACAGATTCTGCTTCAACTTGTCATGCTACTCTTTGACAAAAAACATGCAAGCCTATTATTTGGGAAAACCTCTCAAGTTGGCACATTAAGCTTTCAAAGCAGCAAGCAAGACGGACTATGAAGCCAGGCTGAGTGCAATGCTACTTAAGGGGTTACCTTGTGAAGTCAGATGTTCAAGACGTGAGAGTTTACTGAGTTTTCGCCTAGCACACAACGCTCCTGAGTTTAAAGAATCTCCTGAATCTTTAATGAAACTCTGGCACAGGAATTTCCTTCGCATTAATAAAGTTCTGTTTTAACTTGTCTTAAACTCCTTTCCCTCTCCTGGCGGGTGGACCAAAAGGACGAATGTCTCTGCTCCCCAGTGTATATAGAGCACTGTGCATGCAGGGAAAGCCCATCAGGGTGTCAGGTGACTCCACCAAGGAAAGTTCTAGGCCCATGTGTCAGCTCATTGACTGGATTTCCTTGAAAGAAAGCTTGCTGTTGTTACATCTGTAACCCTCTGCCAGTTGAGCAAAACAAACTAACAACTTCAATTAAAAATGGATCACTATAGTGTTACATTTCTCAAAAGCGTTTTTAACCATTATGAACATCTCTGGATAGCCTAAAACTTCTGGAATCATATAGACAATCAATGTGCCCTTTGTCTGAAACAGATGTTTAAGGGCCTCAAAACTCAGCCAGATGTTAAAACCATTTGCATTTTAGAACCTGAAATAGATCGATCACAGTATTTGTGAGGTGGCTGTGGCTGAGGAATTTAGAGCAGGTAGTCCATTAATCACAGGGTTGGAGGTTTGATCCCCAGTTCTTCTGGTTCACACTCCACTTGATAATGTGTCCTTGAGCAATACAGTGAACCATGCTCTGCTGCTGTTGGCATGTGTGAACGGGTAAATAAGAGGCAAAAATTGAAAAAAAAGCTATCTACGTTAATGCATGTATAGTAAATGTAGTCCATCCACATGGACTAAACTACAATATATACACTGTATAGATGAATATAATAACTGTGGTGACAGAAACTCATGTACATTCATACGTTTCTGCATTCCTATACTTTTTCTTATCCCAGTTAATCTATTACTTGCAGTTGGTTAGTAATATGAGGGGGTTTTCATTCAGAGCATGAATTAAATTATTAGTTTTCACACTGCTGACTTCCTGTTTTATGTAAGGTAAATAAGCAAACTGAACATGGATATTGCCAACACCATATAGTAAACAATCATCAGCAGGTTTATTGAGGTATCATTTTTTTGGTTATTTATATAGTGTACATGTTTCATTCTCAGTTTAAAAGACAGTAGTGCAGTAATTTTCCTTCCCTCTAGTACATGGTCCCTCTGCCAGAGCGCAAAACTGGATGTCTATTCTTGTTACATAGGCATCTCTGACACAGAGACCATCTGGCATTAAATATAACTGCAGTTTGTTACAAACACCACCTGTTGCGACACGCCAGATCTCATGTTTTCACACATGCAGTCGAATATTGCATCACCCGGAAAACAAATCCTCTGAAGCGTGATTCCTATCTGTAAGATATTGAGCTTAAGCTTTATATTATAATTGCAGTTAAGGAGAGCAACCAAAATAACTCACAGTTGATGTAGGTCAACTGTCAAACAATAAATACTGTACATTTATAATAGACAGCAGTTATGGATACAATTTAAGGTAAGCAGCCATCAGTGTGTTTCCCTCAGAAATAAAAACAACAAATGTGCCATCAAAACTCTAAATAGGGATTATATGTCCCTTGTTACAAATTACAGTTTCATAAGAGACTTTGACATCAGGTATTTAAATAGTAGCTTTCACCTTAAAAGAAGTAAACTACGGATTTGATAAAGAAAGTCCTCTTCTTTGCTATTGTCCGTTTTACAGCACATATAGTCTCGAGCACAGCGCTTGCAGTAGTTGTACAAATGGTGCTCTGCTTTCTTTAGCGTGCTGTTCAGTTCCAGTGTTCCCTGAAGGCTGCACAAAAAGGCAAATATTTAACCATCTCATTCATGAACAAAAACACAATCCGTTTTTATGTGATGGGACTTTTATGTCTTAGCATACGGACAAACCTGCTAGTAAACTGGATAAGTTGTACTTCATCACGGCAACGCAGCAGAGACTCTCTGTTCTCTAACAGGATGGCTGCACAGATGAAGAGCTCAAATGTGAAGTCAGTGTTGATGGCCTGCAGCTCTGACTCTGAATTGTCCTCTGCAGAGACACATCGCTGCATTAAAGTCAGACATTTAATAGAGGCAGCTATCCCTCCACATTCAGCCTTGTTTACTTCAGTTCTTTGTTTTACCTGTGCCGCATTTTCGTGCAAGCCTTTCCTTATAACGGGCTCGGTCTACTTGCTGGGAGATAAGCTCCAGGTGGTCACAACTCAGGATCTCGAACAAACGTAATGCGTCACTGTGTTCAAACTCCCTCTGGAAACCCAGCAGCAGCCACCTAAAAAGGACACACAACACATGCACACACAAAGGAAATGTGCATGTGGAACAATAACACATATAATCCCATAGTCAGACATAGAGAATAAAAATAGAGAATGGTGGCAAAGATCTGTGTAGATATACCTGTGGCAGAAGGTGAAGCTCTCCATGCTGTCTGTGACCAAATGAGCATAAAGCTGAGGGTCCAGTTCCTTCAGCAGGGCTGCCTCCAACTCTAAAAGAGATTTAAAAAAAACAACTATTTCATATGCTTCAACTGCAGAATCGAAACTCATAGACTGTACTTTATTGCAGTGTAATCTGTTGTAAAACAGTAAAATCTGTTCATAACAAAAGCTTTTGTCTTGGATGGATTTTATTTGATTTCTAATGCCTTTTTCTCTAGTTTATGTACATTTTCTTTGGATTTTGTTCATATTTTATATGTTTTTTTTGTCTGAATTAAGCATCAAACTTCTACTGATTGGAAAAATAAAAACTTTCAGAAAACGGTACATTCTGTATCAGTCTAATACACCCTACACTTAAATATAAAAATGGGACAGTTGATGGCATGTACTGGAATTATTGTTTTCAACATCCTTGTTTTACCACTAGAGGTCACAAATCTTTCACAAAACATTTATATCTTGGAAACATAGCATTCATTATCCATTAAGTTGCATTTCTTGTTGGCTATCCGACCTATTTTCCTGTGCAGACCATCAGCCCTGAAGTCCTTGGAGAACTTCTCCATGTAGCAGGAGAAACTCCAATAAGCGTCAACCTCAGAGTTGAGAACCTCCAGGAACCGGCTGCACAGGTCATTCATTCCTTGGGCATAACTGACCTCTGGATCAACAAACGAGAGAAGTGATGCACAAACAACCAACAGTTAGTGCCTTTAACGGGGCAACACGCAGCTTAATGCTGACTGATCTTGTCAGTGTTAATAAACCTGAGGTGGGCTCATTCTTGCTGATTACCTGGATGAAAAGCAGCATAAGTGATGAGGATATCTCGCAAAACCAAGAGGTTGGCTGAACCTTCACCCCTGCAGAAACAGAAGTCAGCAGAATTAGTTGAACACTGCAGAAAATGTTTTCATACATTGAGTTGTCAGAGTTGAGTTGGTCTCTATAAGTAGTTATGGAAATAATCCACAGAAACATTGGATATGACGATGGTTGCTTCCTCACATTCATAAGACAGGAATCCTTTTCGCTAAATAACATACTAGTAATACTAATACTATAAATGATAGCTTTCATGATGAGCTTTCAAACCATAATTTTAAATGAAGCTATTATCTATTATTTCAGCATCGTACCAAAATGCTTGTATTTTAGAGAAGCAGTCACAGTGGTTCTGCAGCCCCCAGGGGCAAGAGACAAAATATCTTTGGAGCTACCAAATAAAATTTGGTCTTTTTACTTTCCTCAGTGTTTATCTAAATGCAGAAGCAACTCACAGCTCACTAGACTTAAAGTCTTTCTTTTAACAGGTAGATAATGCTGATAGCCTATAAAATGCCATTTGTACATTTTAAGATTCAAGATTTACAGCATAACCCAGGAGAAAACAAAGCATGTACGACCTGTGTAACTAAGTGCTGTGCATAAGATGCCAGGATTCCTTTTTTTCATCATTATTAAAAAGTGATGTGGCCTTCAGAGTTAATTGTGTCTTACAACAACATATCAAATTTGACTTACCACAGTATATTGCTTTTTGTTAGGCTTTCCAGGTCAACTGAGGTGAGCAGAAAGTGAATGATCCCTTTTTAGCTGCTTAAAACTAAATGTCTGGATGTTTACTTCCACAAACTTCAGGTCAAGGGTCAGCAATAACATCCAACACACTATCTTTTGACACATAGTTAAAAACCACAACAACGGCTGACAATCACTCACTGATAATAGCTCAGGTCTCTGTTAGTTCTCGCTACATCCTTGCCGATAATGCGTGTGGCTTCCCGCAGCTCCTCTTGGTCAAACGTGACTCGCTCAAACAATATCTGGCAACAGCAAGGAAACGTAGAAACAAATATGTTGATTGTCTGCGTGAACTGCTTCAGTGGAGTCCATGCATTTGATCACATTTAGTCTTGTTATTGCACTAGAAATGGGAATTGTAAACTTGTGTCAGTTCATTGTGTTGAAGCTGCTTGTGAAGTATCACTATCTAAATGCACAAATCTATCAGTTGTTCCTAAGTGCACACACTCCACATAGAGAAGTGCCTTATACTTGAGGGAGTACATTATATCCTGTTGTGTAATTTCCCTAAATATACTTCACTCCTCACACTTTAAACACACAATCTCTTCTATCAAACAAAGACAAAGTAAACACATTTAATGGAACTACAGACGCAGACGTGTATTGAACAGAAAAACAGAATTACATATAAAATAAAAAACATGGCATTGAAAAATAAAGATAACAATTATACTACCACATATTAAACTGATCTAACCTGTGCCTGAAGCTCCAAGAAAGCCAGTCTGTCCCTGACCTCCTCAGACTGGTCCTGGGTATGTTGCTGAGCCAGTGCCTGCCTCTGGTCAAAGTACCTGACTGCTGCCACCAACTCAGCTGGAATGAAGACAGGATCATGTGGTCATGTTTTAACAAAAGAAAAAGTAGTGCAGGGAAAGAGGAAAAACAATGAATGAAAGGTTGACACACTTGAGAGCCGTATGACTCTTCATTGCAATGCATGTTTGGGCTTTTACCGTCAGTGCCGTTAAGGTGCATCCGCACGGCCAAAGGAAGGAACTGCTGCCACTTTCTCTTCATGACCCGGTAACGTACCACCATCTGCTCCTGCAGCAGAGAGCGCTCTAAAGTTGTCGAGCTGCAAGGGTACATCCCAAACAAGAAACTCCACGCCAGACCACGCTCAGAGAGACACACGCCACCTGGACAGGGATTGAAACCCTTTTGATCATTTAAAGTGGTCAATATAACTGACTCACCAGTGTTTTCCAGCCAAAAGGTAATTTGAGCTTCAGTCAAACCAATCTCCATCAGAGCAAAACCAACCCTGAGTGAATCACATAATCCAAGTAATTTGGTGGAAATTAGGTGTGAAATGAGGGAATCCTTATGAAACAGTCGCTGATCCAAAATTGTATGAACTTTACCCTGCTTTCATCGGGATTTGAGATGTCTTATGTAATGTTTCACTCTGCAGGTTCTTTAATCTTTGGTTTCCATGTTTGTAGGGATGGAATGTGCATAAAGGTCAAAAGGCCTAAGAAAAAGGGGGGTGGGTTTCCACATTCCTGCTCATAGATGATAGATTCAAAGTGATGTTTTACCCCATAAGAGCTCTTATGTGTAGATGTTTATCGTCCTGTGCCTAGTACAAATCAACATAACAAGATAGTGCCAGGACCAGTTGAGTGGCAGTCTAAGGACTGTGTTTAGGGGCTGGTTTAACATATTGTACGCACTGGAGCCACAAATCCAGATCCTCATTTCTTAGCTTCCCACACTTCAGTGGATGTTTTACTCTGGCTGGTGAATCTCATGTGATTTTATTCTGGTATCCGTGGCTTTATCACAGAAGTCACGCTGGAGTTCTTTACTGGAGGGGGTCAGATGTACAATGCAATGTTAGATTGTAGAGAATAGTTCGACTGTGGCTCAGCTAATGTCTTGAAGCAAAGTATCACTTGACTTCCTTTCCTCTTTGTCCGTATGAATAGTCACTGATGCATCTACAATCATTGATGCGTGGACACATCTGATAATAAGAATCCCTGTTGAAGAATTTACTGCAGCAGCACAATACTGCATGTGAAGACAGTTTCATTTTTCTAGACACTAAAGCCACATGTTGATCATCATTTTATTATTATTTTAGGCTTTGTTCAGAATTATATTGGGCCTCATGACTGGTGTTCAGGGTGAAGACCCATATACATTATTATACAATTATACAACTGCATGCAACGCACTTCCATCTCATACCATACTATATTTATACAGATATGTGCAAATAATATTTCAAACATGAATTTCACTGGATTAGCAAAGATTTTAATGGGATTATTGAATAACCCTGTTTAACCTGTTGTAACCTCAGAATAAAGCTTCTCCTGCATTAAATTCAAACTGAGCCACTGACTAATACTGAAGTTGAATGCAAACGTGCATACATTTTGTAATAATTATGTAAAGTCATGCTATATAAATACTATACATATTTAGGAAAATCACTTGAACTCTTTCTGTGATTTGTAATATCTGCATCTGTTTTGATAGATAGATAGATAGATAGATAGATAGATAGATAGATAGATAGATCTACCGTTTTTGAAAATATGCATCCTCAGCCGTGACTCGTCGACCCTCCCCTCGGCGTCCATGACTCCAGGTAAGGTGAGACGTGCGACGGACTGAGCAGGAGAGCTGACCGCTGCTACTTTCCTCTGGAAGCTGGCACCGGATTGGTGACTATCCGGGGAGCTTGTCTCATCTCCGGCTGTCGGTCGCGGACTCCCGTGATTCGAGTCTTCCATCGGTGCCTGCAGTAGTCGCGATCCCACCACGAACAGGTGAAGCAGCGCTTGCCAACAGACAACAAACTGTCATCCTCATGCACACCACTGCTCACTAAACAACGTCCCAAAAACCCATCGGGAGCTGAAACCAACCGGGACTGACTTCCGCCAACAGGAATCGACCCGTTCAAGATCACAAACAATATTGAATGACTTTCAGCAAACCATTTCACGGCCTGTTGGGTCTCATTCGGCCATCCGGGAGTCATATGACTGTACCTTGAGATCCGAGTTTGGCCCACATTCCAGGTGGTCTCCAGTGCCAAAGTTCACGTTGGAATTTGCGAGCGTGTCTCACTCCACCTAGTGGTTTCATTTAACAGCATCAAGCACACAGTTTTATCCCATCAGTAGCCCAAACTGACGAGAAGGTGAACCAAAACACAACACGCAATTCTCTTTTATGGTGTGTAGGCTATTCTTTAATCAAGCTTGATTCGAATATCATGTTAATATTAGACCTACATGCCAATAAAGTTTGTTGGCCTGCTTTTGCTAATGAAACAAAACAATAAACCCAGGGATACTGGGTTATGGATCTCCTAAATTAACTGTGGGGTAGAATATCATAGATCTATATGTGAAATTAGCAACAGAAAAGGTAGGTCATGTCCTTCTGAATCCAAAATGAAGGTCTTATGATATAAGGTGTCATAAAACAAAACACCTTTGATCAATATCTAAGCTAAAACGGACTTGACTGAGTTATTGATGTATGATATCTGCTGTTGAAGCTACCAAAATATATTCCTTAATCCATAATCTTAACGGGTATAAGAGCAGTATTATCCTCAGCTGCAGGAAACACATTAAAAACACTGTGTGAAGAGCTTTGGAAGATATAGGCTAGCATTTATTCATCTTTTACCATTACTGGCATTGTACATTGAAAGGGTTATTGATCTCTGTTGTCCTCCTGTCCATACTGGCTGCGAAGTCTTCCCTTCCTACAGTGGTCAAATGGAAGTGATGGGGACAAAATCAGAATCCAGAGTCAATGCATTCTAAAGTTCAGCTGAAGCTGATATGAGGCTTTCGACGAATCAAGTTGGTATCTGTCTTCTTAGAATGAAACTCCTCCTTTGTGCTTCCACGGCCTGTGCTTCTGCAGCAGAGGGTTAGTTACACAAAGAGGGAATTTGGTGCGAAAATATTGTAGCTTTGAAAGATAAATTGATTTGTCTCACTAACAGACATATCAGACAGCTTGAGCCTGCTGACTGCTTAGTAGCCTTTGTGGCCAGCAGGATGAACAGTTACAGCAACCAATAACACATCAATTTACATGTCGGCATGTCATTGTTAGATTAGCCTTTAAAAAATTTGAAGCTATACTTTTATTTAGAAGCCATAATTTCAAAGCTCATACCTGACATTATTGAAACTAGTCTGTGGAGCAGAGATGACACTTTACTATTTGAGGAAAGCGGATGGACGACACCTCTATCTGTGTGAAACCTTGCACATATTAGCCTATGCTGTTGTGACACTGATGTGGAAACATACAAACTGTTTATTCACAACTCTGAGCTACGTTATGAGTGTAAAAAATAATTATTGGTGAGAGAGATGTGTTTGGTTCTGAGTATAGCCTACCCGTTTTCCCTGAAACTAGTAAAGCAACTCTTAACACTTTTCAATTTTGTATCCAATGCATTAGTGATGTTGAACTAAAGCCCTCACACCTGCTCTGTTATATCATCATTTATATCAAGCACATATTCTTCTCTGTCCAGTTTTTTTGTATTTTCAAATTATATGATGGGCACAGCACATCAGCTTCAGTGTTTTCTCATTTTCTCTGAATCTCAGTGAGAAATGGTCAGTGTTCGCTTTTCTGTCCCAACTTCCTTTTTTTCAAGTCATGCTGAACAGGAAACACACCCAACCATTTCACATCAATGTTACATCAATGACAGCACAACAAAGCCCTGCAACCCCTTCTGGGTCCCTCTCACAGTGAGTATTTACTTTCAGCAGAAGACAGGCAGTTTAACTTCAGAACTTTTGTAGCACGTCAGCCACCAGATGTGATAGACAGAGCTGAAACGCTGAGTTCACTCTACACAGTTTCAGGATGTTGGTTGACCTCAGAAAGTCCTCCTTGGATCAGATGAAGCTGATGGGCCTGATTGATCTCACTCTCATATTGATCCTGGCGTCTAATTCAAAAGGTGAGTGACACATTGAGTCGATTTGTTTGTTTTATATTTTATTTCATGAAGTATGCACTTTGATAAATATAATTTCTGTTTTGGTTTTGGACCTAGGTCAAAGCTGGGATGTTCATGTCTCTGGACATATCAATGCAACCTTGGGTTCAAATGTGACCATACCGTGTACATTTACCATTCCACCTTTATACCAGACTGAAAGTGTTAAAGTTTACTGGAAAAAGCGTGAGGGAAGCAACTTTGATTCCATTACAAACAACAAAAATCCATATGTTTTTCACCCGAATAACACACTTGTGCTTGAGAAGTACAGAGGAAAGACCAAACTCATTGGAGATGAAAGCAAAGGAAACTGCTCCCTCAAGATCAATGGCATCAGGCATAATGAACCAAACATCTATGTGAGAGTTATCGCAAAGAAGGAGTACTTCAGTTTTTATGATAAGTTTGTTTCCATTTCTGTATCTGGTAAGACTTTCAGTAAAAAAAATTTAAAAAATCATTTATGTCATGAATCAAATTGACTAAAGAGAAATTAATTCAAAACCTTACATGTTTCTCCCCCAGGTCCGGGTGTTTCACCAATCCCTCCTGTTCCAGCTGGTCAGCTTTTATTCTCTCATTCACATTCATATACTTTGTTTCTGTACTCCTCAATTTGCCAATAGGCTGTTTAATATTTCTATTTCTATGTCAGAAAAAGTAAGTAAACTGATTTATTTTTTATTTTTTTAGTTAGGATACTACTAATTCCCACCTTTCAAACAACAACAAGTAAGTTTTCACAGTTTGATATTCAATATGTCTAAATCTGTAATTTGGTTTCCTTTATTAATAAAATTACTGTCCACGGATATAGTTTCCTCCCAAGTGAGTACGACCCAGGAGTCTCCACCGCAATGGCAGATGGCCATCTCTGTATCAGTGGGTGCAATTCTGATCGTTATTGTTGTCGTTGGAATAGTCTTTGGCATAAAACACAAAAGGTAACTTCATTTTTAACTAATTTAGAGTGTTTGTTTTTTACAAGTGATCGTTGTGCTTTTCTTAAGTAAATCATCTGCAGACATCCTAAACTCACCTTTCACTCAATAATGTTTTTGCTTATTGTCACTTCACTTTGATGTTTCACCCTCACATGTGCAAACGGATGCATGTGCATGCATGTTTTTTTTTTTT